CGGCCACCTGATACTCTGTAGCCAAAGTAAAAGCCTGGCGAGAGAAGAAGGAAATGTTCTAGTAAGACGTTGTGGGAGGCATTGCTCACAAATCAGCAAAATCCCTGTTTGATGGCATAATACACATTGACTCATCTTTTATCTACTGCTAGGAGATATACAGCGAGATCTTATCGTTGCTGGCAAAGGAATGAAGGTCGAGAATTTCGTGCAACCGGCAACCCACTCATTAGATTCACGAGCGTGTTGTTACGCGCAGAACGGCCTCTATAATGCAGTCACCCTGCGGAGTCACCTCGAACAGGACAGGGCCAGCTCTGAGTCCTAGTGAGGAAGCTGAGAGACCTTTCCTCTGATTTTTCTAGAAATTGATATGGCCCTTTGATCCTTATCAACAAAAATAATCTTGGCTGGCATGTTATTGTGAAGCCTGTAACAGGAACGCAGGCCAAAGCTTGCAAATTTTCTAACTTGTTACACAGACAAACTCCCCCTCGCTAAAAAGATAGCTCACCTCGTAGTAGATAAGTAAAAAATAAGATGGTTTTCTTTTGTTATGTTCTCTTGACAAACTCTGCTGAAGGAACACAGACATAAACCAAGGTTTACAGTGGAATACCAAGCATGGATAAAGCAAACCTCAGGATCTGCCTGACTGTATTCATCTTAGCTATAGCTGTGGTTTTCTGGCTTATTCTTTAATGAAAAAAGTGTCATGAAAATAAACCAAATCTCCATTCCTTGTGCATGCATATCTCCATGAATTTCAGTGCAGGAATTTGGTCCTCTGTGTGTATACATACTATTAAGTTGTGTTTCTATTAGCAAATTAAATAACTATGTATTGAGAGGAAGGCAGGAATTAGGGACTGGTTTTCTTCTGTAAATTTGCCAACTTGGTCTGGCAAAGTGAATGCTCTGACATAAGTCAAACTGGATCAACAGAAACATCAGTTAATAGAAGAAAGGCCATGTAGAGTCTACAGAAAGGCCTATTGAAAAAGGTCAAATACTTCAAGCCTGGACACTGGCAGAGAAAGGAGAGTAAGATGGAGCAAGTAAGTCAGGACTGTGAATTAAAAGTAGCTGAAGTGAAGTGGTTATAGTAGGAGAATCTGGTCCAAAAACCTTGAGAAACTCAACCTCCAGCTGGTTTCAGTGATCATCACAAGTGAAAATTCATTATAATATGGTTTTTTTAAGATATGATGCATTTCAAAACTGATAGTTTTGGTCACGTGCAACACTTAATAAACGTGGGAAGTAAGTACTAATAACAAAAGCAATGAAGTTTTTATTACCTTCAAAATATCACCGCCCACTCTAAATCTACCTCATACAGCATTTTACAGACAATACTACAGTCCTAATGTGCAGTGGTTAGCTTTATGGGGTTCATTCATTCCTGCCCAAAACAACAGTCACGACTACAGCTGAGGATGTGTCGAAAGGAAATAAGAAAATGCTCTCTGAGCAATTACGGAAGAAATGGTACTTCACTGCAGCATCCAGCATCCAAACATAACTGGAAAAAGCATAGAGGAAGAAAAAAAATTACTTTAAGTACAGGCAACCACTATCTGTCGGCATAGGTCATGGATATGCCAACCTTTAATAGGAAAAACAGCAACAAAAAATAGAAAGGAATTAGGGTATGCATAGTAGACTATTAATTTAATTGACTTATTGAAGCCATTAATCATTTTCCTCTTGGCGTTGCACTGCTATCTTTGTTGTAAGTCTTGGTTTATTTTAGCACTGATCAGCCATGTACTTTGCCATCATGACCGATCAACATTTAACAAATTGATGGATGTCGGTGCCCTTCTGGGAGTGTGCCCTCTCACTGCTGTTTCTGTCATTTTCTCAGCGATAGTCACTGGCTGGATACTGAAAAGACACTGGATGGTAAACACTTTGAAACTAGTTAATTTGAGGAAGTGGAATACTTAATTTCTATTGATTGCGCAAATGTCATTGTTTTGCTCTTCAACAGCCCTTTCCAGAATGTCATATGAAGTCATATTCATCACTGGAGAAATACATGTAAGTTAGAATAAACAGCAGAGGAACTGCAGAGATTATTTAGTTTTTCACCTCTTAGTTCTGATGTAACTCAATCCTAACTGAATTAGTAGTGAATGAGAATCATCAGCACCCAAATGACATTTTTCTCGTCAACCCATATTGTCAGTCTGGTTCCTGATAAGGAGAAACCTGATTTCACGTGAAATACACTGGTTGGAATATGCTTAAGCCTCATTTTGGGGGTAATAGACCCTGGAAATCTGGTCATCTCCTGCAGAAGTCAATAATGGGACAATATGACAGATACTGGATTAAAACCCAGGAGAAATGTCCTAATCTTAGAGAAAACAACAGGGATTTAGCTTTTATTAAATTGCAAGTTCACAAAAAAACCCACCTGTGTTACCTTTAACATTGTTGCATACTCTAAAGAGTCACAGAAAATGAAAAGAAAGAAAAAAAAAAATATTTCCCTGCAAGCTACACCTGGTCCTTTTAAGTTACACTGTGGAGACATATGAACAGTGAAGATGATGATGTAATTTACTCTTGGCCATAATAAACCTTAGACTCTAATGTTATGATCTGGCATTTTTCATTAATGCTGAAAAGAAAAGAAAACATTCATCACAATCTGTAGATGTGATTAATTAGAACTCTGCATTAGCGAAATCGTATCAGGCTTGTTTTAAACCAAGTAGCCGTGTGCCTAACTGGTCTTTCCATTTATATCAGTGTTACGTTTGTGTAACGCTGACTTCAGCAGACACTTGTCTTTATGCCACAGCCACAAAGGGCAGAATCATACCTATGAGAGTTCAAACCAAGAAAGATGAAAAAATTACAAAGGTTTTTGACAGCTATATTATAAGAAAAATGATCAGATACAGATGACAGCAAGGCATTTCTAGCCGAGAGAGTTCTAAGACAAGTTAAGCAATCAATCATCTGCATCACTCACTATTCAGCAAGTCGACATTCAACATCTGAATCAGTCATTACAATGTAAAGAGAATTAGTAAAGTCTCTAACAAAATGCAAATAAGTGAACTGGAGGACAATACAGTCAAATTCTAGAACTTGGCAGGGAGCCAGAAGAATTATTTTGACAAGACTGCTTGGGGTGATTTGATTTCTTCTTGTTACATTAAAAAAAAAAAAAAAAAAAAAAAGAGAGAACTTAAGTCTTGAGCAGTATAAGTTTTTAAAAGTGTTCTATAATACAAATGTATAGTTATATTTAGCCAGAAAAAATGTAGAATTAGGAACAAAACATAGTGCATGCTCTGACACTTTGCTACACTTGATGCGACCTAACTCTTTTTGGTGCCAGTGAGAGTTTTTCCAAAGAAGTACAAAGAATACTGGGGCAAAGCTAGCCTGAATGGTATGCAACCCTTCGTGTTATCTTTGTCTTCCTTTAATATGTTGCCTAATAATTCTTGCCATTATAGAGTATCAGCCTGCTTCAAAATCCACCTGGTATAAGTGAATGTAAAAATAGGTTTAACATCTGTGGGACTACTACTAAGCTGCAGATGCTGAAATTCTTGAAAAACATAAATATCACTAATATGTAAGTCCAAAAAAGAATAACATCTTCCTTGTTCTAGGTAAAATAGAAGTGGAAAAAAAGAAGGTAAATTAGTTTAAAAAGAAAACTAAGCAGAAGCCTCTGTTTTAACAGCAGCTTCACCTTGATTTTTAGCAGCATAGGGGATGCTATCTTACGCTCATTTGTCAGTTGGAGTAATGGTGGAAAATGGGAGTGATCTTATTGAAAACAAAAAAGTTGTAGCGGGTAGCTATACTGTTAGACAGATCCTAGATGATCCTAGGCCTTTGGCAGCTGTTTTGAGAGGAGCACGTTGTGTCCTTGGCTTGCCCATACGGCAGAGCTAACACAAGGTCTGGCCATGCCCTGTAGCCATCAGCCGTTGAATCCTGATGTATTCGCTCCCGTTCTCATCTGTCCTCGTGGGTGCTGTGTGAGGAGCTGCACTGGCATCAGTAGAACTGCTCCTGCTCCTAAAACTGCGTGCCCGCCTCCGTACATCACAAGGTCTGGGCTTGAACTGCGTAGGATTTGTCATCACAAGGAAAGTTTCTTCTCGATGACTTACTAGTGCTGACATGCCTAGAAATGATAGAGACGGTTTGGCTTTG